AACTTCAACTGCTTCTCGTGTCTGCTTCCCGCCACGGACTCAACAATGCTTATGGTGAGTATAGTGCTTATGGGCAGCTAGATAGGTTTACCAGGAGGAGGAAATCCTTCAAATCCCACAAGATCTTGTCCAGAGTACCTTTTGCTAGTTTAAGCTTACAGTAGATCCTCCATTACCAACCCATATTTCTTTTCCAGTGCATCACTGAATATGTTCAAATAGAGACTCAACAGCCATTTTTCATCTATACTTTAATTTGGATTTCTATAATGAGAAGGGAACTTAAATTCAACAGCCTAAATGGCTCCTTCCATTTAATGATTTAAGCCAGTGATGGCGAACCTTTTAGAGACCGAGTGCCCAAACTGCAACCCAAAACCCACTTATGCATCGTCGAGTGCCAGGTAGGTGTAGCCCATTGGGTGGGCGTGGCTGCAGTGGTAACAGCAGACTAGGCGGGACTAAAAAGTTCAATCAATCAATTCCAACTTTGCAAGATCTTTTTTTTCCAGCGAGAAGTTGAAATTGACTGATTGAACCTTTTTTTTTTTTTTCACACGGCGGCGGAGGCCTAAAGTGAAAAGGTTTTAAAAACCCAGCTGAAGGCCTAGGACTGGGGCGACAGCGCACGTGCCCACAGAGAGGGCTCTGAGTGCCACCTCTGGCACCCGTGCCATAGGTTCGCCATCACTGATTTAAGCTCTCAGAATTTAAACTCTGAGCAAAAATAATTCCACATATCTACTTTTGTACAAAGCATCCTACAGGTACTAAAGGAACATTTGCTATTTGCATTAGACGCTGTAATTTGATTTGTTACCATGTATTTCAGACGAGTGAAAGGATTTAAATATTCGGTTAAGCTGCAGTACTTGGTTTCTGAGGTTATATATTTTTCAGATTTTCCCTTTAGTGGTTGAACCAAGAAGTAAAGCTCAGAGAAGGAAAATGGATGTTAGAACCTCTTCCCAAACTTCTCAGATATTGCCAGGGCTAATGTTGCTTCAAAACTGGAAGCCCAAAAATGAGGCAAGATATTTAATCCAATCTAATACTCTTTCATATAATCTCTCCCCATCAAGAGAACTATATGTCAACTCCAAAACTCTAAATGAAGAAGTGAGGAAAAAAAAAATCAAAGTTCCCCTCTTCAATTCTATTTAGTTTAGGTTGACAGATTCAAATGTTCATATGACAGCTTATGCTTCCTAAGGGACAGAACCAGATTGCTCCATATGAATAGTTTTATGGATCATTCTATGAAAATGAAATTTCTGATGCTTCTTCCAATGCTGATGTCTTGCACTGAAACCTGAATAGCAAAATATCTTGAAAATAAATCTTGTTTTAAAAGGCCCTATACATAACATCCAGATCTTGAAAACAAGATGATGTCACTCTTCTAGTAATAATTACAAAGATGTCCACAAAGAAGGGGTAAAAAAGTGAAGATGTTAGCCAAAACCATGTGATCTGAGCACATTCCTTTTCTGTGTGTGCTCTGTTCTGATGGTTGTGATTGCCATCTTGATTTTTTGACACCTTTGGATAAGTATTAAGCATATTCAAATTGAAAGAAAATTGGAACTTGAAAATATAAATCACAACTACTGTTTTTTTCTTTTAAGAAAAGAAATTTTTCAACCATTTTTCCAAGCCATTACAAAGGAAAGAACATTTAAAAGTTGTTTAAAACACACACAGGGAAGGTGTTAAAATGGATGTATTTCGGTATTCCAAGATTTAGAATTTGTCTCTGTGAAAACTTATAATCTTATAATGTTATATAATTCATAATTTTATAATATATATAACATTGTCTAGATATTAGAAATATATCTAATGCAGAAGGGGAGAAAGGGCAAAGTAAGCTACGAGGGATAACATTTTGGAAACATATTTTTTTCAGATCAGAATTGAGAATTAATGCATGATCCATTAATGGTAATGGATCCATTAATGGTAATGGTTTTAGAGAAGAGGAAGATCTAAGTCATAATATTCACTAATTCATGTTGCTATTCCAATAAGACTAAATTAAATGGTGTCCTTTTATACCACTTTAAAAATATTAATTCTGATCTCATTACAATCTATCTACCTGTATATATAATTCTTATGGTCATTTTCTTATAGATTAATTTAATAAAGAGTAAAGGTGTAAGAAGAGATTAGTGGGAAAGATGTGAAAACTATATTTATAGTTAGGATTACCGTAGTTAAGTCTGCCATATTCTGTGCTTCAGAATTATGAAATGATGTTAGTATACATCTGCTCTGGGAAAATTTGGTTTGTGTCACAATTACCATATCTAGATTACAAAACTATAAAACCAGTAGATTGCAAAGAGGTTTGTCTTCATTTTTATGGCTGAGATGATATTCAGTACTGCTCGTGAACTATATGGACATAATATAGTTATCTAGCAAAAGTTAATTTAGCGCTAAACAGATCTTTGGGACTAATATTAATCTTCCTAGATTAGTTGTGGAGTTCTTTAACTGCTTTATTTATCTGTCTATTGAAAAAAAAGATAAAAGTTTCCCCTGTCCAGTGTGTCCAACTCTAAGGGGCAGTGCTCATCTCCATTTCCTAGTTGAGGGAGCCAGTGTTATCTGAAGACGCTTCCATGGTCATGTGGCCGGTATGACTGAGAAGCACAGAAAACTGTCACCTTCCCATCAAAGTGATACTTATTTATCTACATGCTTTCAAACTGCTAGATTGATAGGAGTTGGGGCAAATAATAGGAGCTCACCCTATCACGCAATGCTTGGGTCTTGAATTGCCAACCTTCTAGTCAACAAAGCCCAATGCCATAACTGCTAAGCTACCGTGCTCCCATTATATCTATATTAAATACCAAATGCAAGCTGATAACCCTCCACTTTGGCTCCATACTGCATTACCTATATCTACTGTTCTGTGTTGATGCTATAGAAATGAAATTGAAGCACTTAATTCCTTTCAAAATCAAACTGGTATCTAGTTTGCATTGGAGTATAATTGTGTTCACAAAATACACTTCTCTAAATTAACCTATTTGGGGAGATTCCACAATATATTGAATCATACACTAATCATACAAAGGCTTCTCACTGTAAAATAAACCTAAATCAATCAATCAACATAAAAAATAAAGCTATCACTAACTGGTGAAGTATGGCATATGCAGATTTATAGGGACATTGGTTATTTATTACATTTATTGCATTTATTTATTTATTTGAATGGCCTAGCAATCCAATTTTACCTTTATCCCAAGACCCACATGGTCTTTTTTCATTCCTAGACTATAATTTACATAGGTATAATACTTCTGTTTTCCATAGAGCACTATCAAACATCTAATCCTTGCTCTTTCAACCAACACAATTCCATGATGTTTAAAAAAGGAAAGTAAGCATACATGTGAAATCAACCTAGCCTTGTTTATGATTGGCAATTTCCATGGTCTGTTGCATTTAAATGAGGGAAGTGAGTACTTTAGGTGGGAGGATGGGACAGAGATGCCATTAGTTATTCATTAACTGATCAGCATCCTGAAAATATTAATTCACCCTCCACGTAGATAATATATTTTGTTAGCCTTCTGAAAAACATAAGGGATAGTGTTGAAAATGAAAGCTATAAATCATTATGCCAACAACATACCATATAGCTACAGTGAAAACTGGGTTTTGTCAAAGTTTGGTTTTATGGAAATGCTCAGAGTGAAAAGGCTGCCGCTGAAGATAAATGAAAAGAGAAGCAGGGGGAAGATTGCAGAAAACCAGTGACAAAGACCGAATAAATTGCATGGAACAGAAAAGAAAAAGAAGCTGTAGTAACTGGGATGATAAACCCTGGCAAAAATTCTGAAAATATCCAGAGAGATATGTTGACATGAGCATAATAACGGTATAGAAATATTACTTGGCAAAGGCTCCATAAATTTTGTAAAGCAATACATATTTCAGATTTCTGTTCCCATTACATGCCACTCCCCGACCTCCAAACTTAAAATAAGAGTGTTGCATGGGAGAAGTTAACTCTTCTGCTATATTTAACTATTGCAGTTCCCTTTTCCAGTTCTATTTGTCCTACAATAGAATTCAGACATAAATGAAAAGATAAATATACATTTGAAATTTCACAGGATTTCACAAGAGCACCAAGAGTATTACAGCAAAAAACAGAGAGATAGAAAGGCATGATTAAGATTCTCATTGTTTCACATACACTATCAGTGATATTTTCACAGACTACAAATCTACTGATCATTAAAAATAAAATATCAGTTCATAATAATACAAATACAAAAAACACAGAGCAGTTGGGAGAAATTACAATTCCTTTCCTGTTATAAATGTATTTTCTAAGAAATTATTTCTTGTATTTATGATCAAGTTAATTTTTGTTCACTATATTAATCTAGACCAGTGATGGCGAACCTTTTAGAGACTGAATGCCCAAACTGCAACCCAAAACCCAATTATGCATCGTCGAGTGCCGGGTGGGTGTGGTCCATTGGGTGGGTGTGGCTGCATGGCTGCAGTGGTAACGGCAGACTGGGTGGGACTAAAAAGTTCAATCAGTCAATTCCAACTTTGCAAAATCTTTTTTTTCCTGTAAGAAGTTGAAATTGACTGATTGAACCTTTTTTTTCTTTTGCATACGGCAGCGGAGGCCTAAAGTGAAAAGGTTTTATAAAACCCAGCTGAAGGCCTAGGACTGGGGCAACGGCGCACATGCCCACAGAGAGGGCTCTGAGTGCCGCCTCTGGCACCCGTGATCTTCGCCACCACTGATCTAGACACTGATTTGACATGCACATGAATTTTCTACAGTGAAACATTTTTCCTGTCTTGCAATATTCTTGTTAATATTTGTTAATTGAAAGGATGCGATTTGAAGCTGAGCATTCTTCAATTAGCTGAAATTTATATATATTAATACATTTTTCTATCTGGTTAGACTCCTGTTTTGGAATATCTGAAAAGGACAAGGATTTGATTACCTAATGATCTGTAGTGTTCCAGAATGGAGGATCCTGTACTGTCAGATTGTTCATGGTTATGAAAATCCTGTGGAAAAAATCTCCTATTTCCAGAAGGAGTTGAGATGTAATTAACAACACGGTCGCTGATATTCTTTGATACCATACTCATCATGCTGATATCTGCCACTGAATAAAGAAGAAAAAGAAAAACAATTCTTAGGTTTTATTTACTCGGTGGTTCTTTTTCTTTCATTCATCAGACAAGTTTGGGACTGCTCTTAAGCCAAGATAGACACATGGTCATACACATAATTGTGTATGTATGACCTTTTCACATATGTAGGAACTCATTTTTTAAGAAAAATCTTATGTGAATAACAAAGTTAAATCTTATGTGAATAATAAAATCTTTCATGTTTTTGATATTGCCATGAGATTTCAAATAAGATTTTTTGATGAGCTACACTCATAAAAATAGCAGGGCCAATACAAAAAAAAATAAATTAATGTAATCAAAATGCCCCATCTACAAATGTAGTTCATCTCCATATGCATATACCAGCCATTCTCTTTCTCATACACAAGTTATATTCTTGTTTTCTTAATAATTTTTTTTAAGAAAAAGAAATTCTCAAACACAGAAACATATAAGAACATGCATTCCTCTCCCTTCAATAGAAGTCTATGAGCAAGTGACAAAACATGTATCAGAACATAATCCCCAGACCCTTAGGTACTTGTGGGCAACGGTGCAACACAAATACAAAAGGACTGAGCTTGCATCATGATGTCACATTTTGTTATTTTTGTGTCACTGTGGTAAAAGCAGCCACTTAAACATCCTTACAGTAGAAACAGTTAGAAGGAAAGAAAAAACAGGATGAAAAAGAGAAAAGGAAGTTAGAATAAAGAAAGAGAACTGAATGGAAGTAAAGTAATGGAAAGAAGTAACTCTACAAGAGGAATAATAACCAATGGGGAAAAAGAACAGGAGAGTTATTTATTATTAGAAAACAGTTAAAATTCATCAGGCAAACTACCTCTCCCAAGCCTAATCTTCAAATGCATCCAATGCATTATCTACAGTCATCTGATGTTTGTTCATTTCAACAGTTTCCTCTATTATCAGATTGGGAACCAGGTTAAAAATAGGTTAAAAAAACTCATACTACCATATGTAGATTTTCACATGCCATTGGGATGATTCCATATTTGTCTTTTTTGATGGATAGTTGAGCCAGTTTAACTCTGTCTAATTTAACAAGTAAAAAGCTTTGAAGACAATTTTCAAGTAGCTCTACTAGAATTCAGCAATCCAAGATTGGCTGTGATAAAAATAAATCTGAACTGGTATGAAGTTGTTTTTAAGGGACCTTAGGAAGTGAAAATTCTGCACACAAAGGTCCCATACTGAGTCAGTTGGTGGCTTTGGAGTTAATTCAGATACAAGAGCTTGTTTTCTGTCTCCTCACATATTACAGCTTAAGCAGGGCTTTTTTTCTCATAGAACGCCCAGAACGGAGTTCCGGCACCTTTTTGGGATGGAACCTTGTAGGGTAGGCAAGGAGATTGTATGATGTGTATGAGTTCCGGCACTTTTTTTTTTTTTTTTAAGAAAAAAGCATTGAGCTTAAGTATTTTTTCCATATCATCACATGGTCAAAAGCTTATTTTTAAGGCTGAGCAGTACTTGTGACTGAAAGAGTGCTATGTTCATGCTTCCACTTGGATTCACTCTGGAAATTGAATCCAACAGCCTACACAGCCCTACTTATTTTTCTTTCACATATTCATTTAGATTTAAGAGAGGTTAGTAATTCTTTGTTTGGTGTGAATTTTAGTTGTTGAACTTCCTAAGACAGAAGCAGATAGCAAACAACTGATTTCCCCCCCCCCCCCAAAAGAATAAACAGAAAGAAAATGAATGTGTACAAATGTATTTATAACCAGTAATTTAATAGGTGCTTGTGGTGATTTCAGCCTCTCACTCTATGTATGCTGAAAAACACAGGCAAAATATATTTCAAAGTAATAGTTTTATGTGGGTGCGTAGCACAAGAGGCAATGGTACTCATTGCCCTGAGACCATGTAGTGCAGTCTTTCTTCCACAAAATTTTGTTTGTCTTATTTCTCCAACTGGCTCTAACAGGATTGAAAATAAATACATCAACTTCAAGTATAAGAATGCTCTGAGGAACTTAGAGTTATAATGGTTCTCTAAAGTGTGTCACTAACCAGTCATTCTGTAATGCAACTTTTTTACACTGATATTTATCAAAACAGTGATTGTGGAAAAGCTATGCTTACAGTTAAAACAGCTTTCACAGATACTTCTTCTCCAGCCAAAGAGAGGGAATTTAAAAATCCTATGGCTTCTTGATTGTCCTTTCAGGGACTTGAAATTCCACCCTGAATTTAGATCCTAATTCTATAGTGGCAATGTGGTTGCCATATTTTGCATGCGGGATAGAAGTGACTCACCTGAAAGATATCCTAAAATCATTTCAAATATTTCTAAAGGAAGGGATTTGAAATCCCCAAGTGTGGACAGATATGCAAAATCTGTTTGCATGGTATTACTAAATTTGCTGGAATGTTGATAACTACATTGATGTTTTTGATTAGGAATCGAAGTAGAGCTACTTCTTGTAGGAGATGTCATTATCTTTTCTTGGTTTGCAGATGTATCCTGAAGAAAAACAATTAAAATAAAACATTATTTTAATTAAGTAGGAAAATTAAATCAATAAAACAACAGAAGTAGACAGGAGACTGGCAGAATTATGCTTAGCTGATACATAAATACAGCACACATAAATGTTATGTCAATGATGCATAAAATTAATATTTTCTTGGATTCCTGGAAAAAAACCTTGAAAATCAGATTTAGTATAGAGTTGGATCATTTAGTCTTAGACTTCGCATTAGAAATCTAAAACCTCAGATAATTAGAAGCAAGAGAAATATTGCTCACAAATCAATACATTCTAATTACTTAATTTGAATAAATGATGCAAATAATGAGAACACTCTTTCAATTCATAATGATAATCAGTAAAACAGCTGGGCAGCATTTTTGATTTAATCTCAAAAAATGCACATAGTGAGAGCAAACATAGCATCTCTTTGAAACACCTTATAGTAGCTATGCTCTCTCTCATAGACAGAGCTGCTGAGATAAAAAATGTGACTAGAAGACAGATGTGCTAAAGGACTTTTTGAAAATGTAATTTGAAATGTTACCAGCTCCTAGTAAATAGTAACCACTCTTAATTGGTAAAAAATCCTTCCAAATATTTTTCCCCAAAAGATTTATGATTGATGAAATATTCTTCCTTTTCAATTATGTCAGTTTAAGTTTTACTTGTTTATTCAATTTCTGTAGTTGCCTATCTCAATCAAGTGGCATGGGGAAACTTACAGTCCTAAAACCAGGGCTTTTTTTCTCATAGAACGCCCAGAACGGAGTTCCGGCACCTTTTTTAGATGGAACCTTGTAGGGTAGGCAAGGCGGGTTGTATGATGAGTGTCATACATCTTTTTTTTTTTTTTTTTACAAAAAAAGCACTGCCTAAAACTATAAACCAGGTAAAATGATTAAAAACAATAAAATAGTAAAAACATTCAAAAATAAATATGTACAGTAGCCAAGGTAGTTAACCAGCTAACAGTAAAGTCAATAAACAGGGTTGGGGCCATTCTAATCTCTGAGGGAAGAACATTACACAAAGCAGGGGCTACTGCAGAAAAGGTTTATCTTCTAGTTATCATCATCACCATCATCATCATTATTATTATTATTATTATTATCTTCAATTCGATTCACAGTCTGGGACTGATAAAAACTTAACAGTTCAAGTCCTAACCAAGGAATAATAATAATAACAACAATAACAATAATATTACTATTATTATTTAATCTTCAAATAAATCTTCAATGGAATCTTAAATCAATTGATTGTAGGATGAAGGCATCTTCATTGAAAGTTATAGATGGGCTGTAATGTATCACACTGGTCTAATACACTTAAATAGATAGATGTTCGTTGACTTACCAGTCCAGGAGTGAGAGCAATAACTGATTCAAAGTTAGGTTCCACACCTAAGGAGAACTAGTTGATCCATCTCTCTGTTCCAATGCAGCACTTTAACTACTAGACACACTGTCATATGTGTGCACTGTATACATATATGAAGTATTTTAGCTATTTAGCTGTCCCCCCGTGTGTGTGTGTGTGTGTGTGTGTGTGTGTGTGTGAGAGAGAGAGAGAGAGAGAGAGAGAGAGAGAGGGAGGGAGGGAGAGGAGAGAGAGAGAGGAGAGAGAGAGAGAGAGAGAGAGAGAGAGAGAGAGAGAGAGAGAGAGAGAGAGAGAGAGAGAAATCGGGCCACCTACCATTACAGTCTCAGTATCAGGTGGTCTGATCTTCAGTTTCTGTTTACTAGGTTTCATTCTGCTCATTGTTGATTCCCAAAAGGCTGTTTAAAGTTGTTTCTACTACCTTGTCAAGATATAAAAAAGACATAAGAGAATAGCATTAATTTACAGGTAATACTGAACTCCAAATTTTCAAATATTATCTCCCTGCATTATATTTTGAGATGAAACCTTGCAGCTCCATATTGATTAACTCCCATTGCATGAGACAGTCTTTTATCCCCACTTCTGTGGAATTTATCTGTTAGAATGGATGTATTGTCAAATGCTATTCCCCGCTTTGGCTCTCCATGTAGACATTGATGAAAGATATTATAGCAAATATTGAAGATAAAGCTGTTCAGGACAATTAACAGGAAAAGATGTCACTGTCACATTTGTTTTTTTAAAAAAAGTTATTTGAGAAATGAGCTAGTCTTATAAGGCATTTTCTACAGTTAAAAATTGGTTATTCTATTGATTCTTAAAAGTGACATTTTTTTCATTTTCAATTTGTTTCTGCTTGGGATATATATACTGCTCAAAAAATTAAAGGGAATACAAACGTATAGGATCCTATACGTTTGTGTTCCCTTTATTTTTTTGAGCAGTATATATTAGAACACTTGGTTAGTATTATATATTGCAGTTCCTGCTACAGCATCATCCCAAAAATTGTTTTTTGCCTCTCTAAAATGAGCTTTCTTTTTTGAGAGACTGAATTTAGCAGTGTTCACAAACCATAGGTTATTGTTCAGCCCTATCAAGTAAACTGGGCAGGTAAAATGAGAGAAAATATCAACATCACCAAATACAATGGAATGTATATAATATATACAAATATTTTAGCATTGTTATTTTAATCTTACTTTGAAAGCTCTCCCTCAGGGTGGAATGTGGATCATTAATTTGTATGAGGCAAAAATACATAGCTACTGAAATAGGGGAGAGGAACATATTAGACCATCTTAATTTAAAATTTTAATAATATATATTGGACTAATTTACATCCAAATTCCTCTACAATATTTTAAACTGCATTTTCTAACCAGTATTATAAAAGTATGCTCCTCTGCTGACTAAAGGAATATGAACCTAATTTAATAGGATAAATTAAAATGTGAAGTTTGTTGTTTCATAGCATGTAAGTCAGAATCCCCAAGCGCAATCTTTAATTCAGAATTAATGAACTATTATATAGCACTATAAGAAATAAAGCAGCCTTTCAGCAATATTTTCATTAAAAAACCCTCCTCTCCTACGTCGTCATTTTTATCAATGTTATTTTGTGATTATTTGCAACACATTGGATCATTTGCTTCCTCATAGAAATACAATGAATAAAATATCACTGAGAAATTTAGACTGTTTTCCCATACATGTTAAGTATCCTCTTTTCTTGTAGAATGTTCATTTTGTTTCTATTCAAGAGATGCTCAGAATAATGAATTTCTTCTTTGAAATCATTTGCATCTCACTTTTCATCTTCAGAGGCTTCCAGAATGTTATGTGCCCAAATACAAAGTTTTTGTTAAAAAGAATGGCCTCATACTGAAAATCCTGGGTGTGAATATTCACGCAACTGCGGACATTTATTTACCACAGGAACGTTATTTCTCTCAACAATAATTCATCCGAAATAGTAAAATGTGTTATTAATTCTCCTTTATATCGCGGGTTGTAAATTTCCCGCTCCCACCCCCCACCCAGCCTTCACTGAGCCTCGTACAATTGCACGGTCTTTCTGAAATCTCCCGCCCTCCTACTTAGCCCCGCCCCGGTCATAAATAATAAACAGGGTCGCTTTCCTCAAGGCTTGGAGGATGTTGACTGGTCGTGCTTTTGGTCTAGAAGGGCGGAGTTGACCGGCTACCTTTCCCGTATGAATAATAATAATTCATGAGAAGAAGGCTTGCTTTTCCAGAGGGCGCCAAATAGCCTCTTCCGTGCCTGCTTTCATCAAATCATGGTGTTCTTGCATTTTTAAGCAGGCGTTCCTTTCTTCTTAAAAACTAGGACCAGGGAAATGAAAGTCTTCCTGCCAGACAACTAGGTCTGAATTAGCCTTCCTCAGCCGGCTTCTTCAGACCTGCCGGACTACAGTGCCCATTGCTCAACACATCTGCACCACTCAGAGACGGATTGGTCTTGACGTTACTTCAGGCTTCATAACAAGAAATAACTTTCAATATTTGTTCTACTGCGTCGACATAATGGAGTGTTTTCCAGATATTTCATGAACACGTGGATGGAGAATAGAGATTGCATCTAATTTTTATCTTTTGACCTCACCTGGTGAATTATCTGACTTCTGGTATTCATTGCAAGAATGGAACAGACTTTTTTTGTAGCAGTGAAAGTCAATTGCAAATAATCAGGAATTATCTGTTGGAAACGCACACCCAGATTTTCCAGGCACGTTTTTCTTGGGTCCCCTAAAATACCCCCCCCTTCAATCCTAAAGTATGGCTTGGAGAAATATGATAAGTATTGAAAAAACTTATCTACAGTAGCAGTGTATATAGCACACAGCATTTTTGTAAGTTAACATTTCTACAATGATTTGTAGATGTCTTTAAAGACCACTAGAGGTCCCTTCAAACCGAAGATAATGCTGGATTGAATAATGGATAGGAATTTGGTTGCCAAATTTAGGCATAATTTTTCTACAAATGAAAACATTTAAATCAGATGAGGACTGGATGTTGCCTTTCAGACTAAGTTAAAACAAATAACTCAGTAATATTTCTTATCCGGTCTTCTAGGAACCCAACAGATGCATAATGTTCTTGACTGGGAGACATTCCAAAACCCTTGATTCTTATTATATTAATGTCATTCTTTTGTGGTTGAAAACAACTGAAGAAACGCCCCTCTCTGATCTTAAAAAAATACATATAGAACTTATTCACCTGAAAATAAAGTAAAGATTACGTTTTAGGTAAGAACTTATGCTACAATGCCAGACACCAATTGAATTTCCAAGGACTGTTCATTATTATTACTCTATAATTCTATTATTATTCTCACATAAATACATACACATAGAAATTTATGCTTGTTATGTAAACAGGTTTCACAGAATTTTTGATTCTGATAAGAATTTCCAAAATATCCCCCCTTTTTTTATTAAAATGCAGATAAATTTATATAGGTATATTTGAATTGCTTTTTTAAAAAATCCATGTTATATCTTAAAATAAAACCATTCATGGAATGTTGTTTCTGGCAGTTAATGATTGGGATTATTATTTGTTATGTAGATTCAGATGGTCAGGTTTACTGCAGTATTTGGCTAAATTTTCAGATTATTTATTTACTTAGTTATTTTGATAATCTTCTCCTTTTTGTGCTTGCTTATGTACTTGGTCTGTGCTGTTTAAGTGAATTTCTTAGCAACTAATCTGGCCCCTATAACTCTTGAATATTTTCCTTGTCTATTCTTGTCCTGATTCTTTAGTTAGAAGTTTTCAACACAAATCAGAAATATAACAAAGATGCCTGGGGGAAAAACCCCTGAATCATAGTAAGCACATATCTTATATCACAGAAGATGAATGTTTCCTAGGTAAACATCAGTTATTCAACATTCTGTGTGAATACTTATTTCACTGCAGGCTCATTAAATGGTTATTTACTACACGAAGAACTTCATTTTCTATGACTTCATGCAATAAAACTATCACACTATCACAATTTCTATATGATGTATAAAGTGTAAAATATGAGCTAAACATAATTGTTTTATCAGTTATCAACTTATAACTGTTGATCAGTCCAATACATTTGCTTGGAGAAATTTTCTCCTGTTCCTCCTCACAGAATAGCTTCAGTTTAGGAATATTGATAGCTTTTTCATAAGAATTGCCCATTTCAGATCCTTCCATAACATTTCTATAGCAGTGGTTCTCAATCTGTGGGTCGGGACCCCATTTGGGGTCAAACGACCATTTCACGGGGGTCGCCAAACAATGCAGTCCGCCATTTTTTCCCCCTTTTCCTTAGCTGTGCTACTCCCTTTTATTCTATAGGCTTTTGAAAGCCAATAGAATAGACTCTCTTGAATAGAGTATAATTCTATTGGCTTTCAAAAGCCAATATGAATTGTCCAGGCTGTCTCTGCCCTGCTGAGCCTGCCAAAAGTCCCGTTCTGCAAACGGTGCTGCACCGGTTGAGTAGTCCTCAACTTATGACCGGTTGGGGGTCGCGGCATTAAAAAGGTTGAGAACCACTGTTCTATAGGATGATAGAAATGGCTTGGCCATTCCAAAAAATTAATGCTCTTCTGCTTTAACTATTTTTTTAATTGTAGAACTGCATGATCTACTTTCTCTTGAGCTTCAGTTCATGGTGGATGCCCTAACATTTCCCTGTACAATTTGCTGGATTAACCCAGCATGGCAAGCCATCTTGGTCTAAACAAAGCAGGCCCAAAACATGACACTGCCACCACTATGCTTTGCAGATGGGATAAAGTTCTTAAGCTGGAATGTAGTATTTGCCTTTTGACAAACTTAATGCTTTTCAATAAGACAAAAAGTTCTATTTTGATCTCATCTCTCCACAAAACATTCTTCCAATTGTTCTCTGGCGTATCCATATGATTTTTTGCTCACTATAGATTGGCAGCAACATTCTTTTTGGAGAGTACTGTCTTTCTCCTTACAACTCTGTCATGAATATCATTGTTCAGTGTTCTGATGGTAGTCTCATGAATATAGACATTTCCCAACCCAAGAGAAACCTTTAGTTCCTTAGACATTACCCTGGGATTCTTTGAGACATCTGAAGTATTAAACACTTTGCTTTGGGTGTGATCTTGATTGTTTGACCTCTCCTGGAAGGTAACAATGATGTTGCATTGTTTCTTTATACGTAGTGTGCCTGACAGTGGACTACTAGTATCCAAACTCTTAGGAAATAGTTTGTAATTTTTTCAATCCTAGTGAGCATTAACAATTGTTTTTGGAGGTCCTGAGAAATCTTGGTTAAAGCCATTGCAATGCACATTTTCACTTATCTGTATTGTGAAGATCAGACTTTAGTAGCAAATATCCGAAATTCTATTATATTCAGTGTTCCCACACTCACATTACTATGTACTATATATAGTGTATTATAAAAATACTGTATATTTATATGTTGAACTTTACTTCATGGTAATTTAACTATGCTTATCAATGAACATTTCACAATGCTGGCAATACTCTGTTGCAATATGTTGCCTAGTTCTCTAGCTATTTTTGAAAACCAATTTTTAATATTTCCTTTCATTTCAGGGAAGGATAGCTCTACAATGGTTTTTGTCTGTATGTAGACACTTTTTTTTTCTTTTAGAGAGCCCTGATGAAATAGTATCTCTACAGCTTCCAATCAGGAGAAATGCTTTTGCAAATTAGAATATGTGGGTTGCATATGTATTTGGGGGGGGGGGAAGAGAACCAGTATCAACATCAGAAACCTTTCTGATTTTTTTTCTTTCTTATTTGTTTTTAATGAAGGAAAGCCAAAACCCTGTTTATTATTTGAAAAAAATACTGGTATCTGGACTGGGACATTAAATTCAGTTATTGGATAGTCTGTGGTGGAGAGAATAAGCATTGCTTTGCTGGTGGTGTCTGCTTTCAGCTATTGGATTGCTTGGACTGAGCAATGATTGGCCAAGAATGCTGTAGTGAATATTTTTTTTATTAAAATATATTTCTTATACTGTCTCTATCTTTCCTTAAACATTAACAGAATTTAATCTCCCTAGATAATTGACAATCAAGCTGAAACTGTTAATCACGTAAAAATAGCAAAAGGGAAAAAAGTTTACTTTACCTTTCCAAATAAATTACCTAGACCTTAATCCACACTTCAAAGAAGGTCTATAACATAGATTGAGTTAATTAAAACTGTTTCCCACTGAAACTGCACATTCACTAGGATAAACATCACAGATGACATGTACCTACTCAAATTCCATTTCCCAGAAAAAAAATCTACTGCTTTTCTATAAAAAATATGATTTCTGTATCCCATTTGTAGCCTACCTTTCAGGAGTGGACTCCTTGCCCGTGAAAGAAACCAACTCCTTTCCATGCAGCAGTTTGGCATCTTTCTTACGAAACTCCAACTTGGGACCCTCAAATTCTCTGCACAATTTGTGCCCAATTTGGGGCCCAAGACTAACAGCCAACAGACTGAGACCAGCTGATATTGGACCATTTTGTCTGGGAGTTCTGTTCCTGTACTTTGCCCACTTTGGGGAGAACAGTAAAGGGGTCCCTGAGACAGCAGCTTGAAAAGGAGATATTTGATGAGTACCTTAAATGTCTGTGTTTGTGCCTAGGGACTGAGTGTCCCCCCCCCCGTATTTGTTTGTTTGTGTGTGTGTGTGTGTGTGTGTGTGTGTACTTCTCTATCTCTTCCTCCCATTGCAGCTGGATTTACTCTCTGACACTCTCAGTTACACCCAAATTTCTGCAGGCCATCTCGGGCTGTGACCAGGAAAGCAAGGGAGTGTGACGAGGGTTCATAGAATCCCTGGAGGTCATGAAAGGTTTACGTGTGCGTG